TGGTAGTTTTACATGAGGGGTGTGAGGATATTGCGCTTGCAGTTTTAGGCCAGGGTGTGAAGATATTTCGCTGGCAGTTTTATGCGACGGGTGTGAGGATGTTTCGCTGGCAGTTTAAGTCAGAGTGTTGAGGATATCTCGTTGGCAGTTCTAGGCCAGGGGGAAAGGATATGTCGCTGGCATCTTCAATCGAGGGGTGTGAGGGTGTTTTGCTGGCAAAGTCAGGGTGCTGAGGATATCTCGCTGGCAGTTTTATGTCAGGGGGTGGGGATGTTTCGCTGGCAATTTTTATCGAGGGGGTGAGGAGATTTCGCTGGCAGTTCTAAGTCATGGGTGTGCAGATACGTTGCTGGCAGTTTTGAAAGCAGGGGTTTGAGGTTATTTCGTCGGCAATGTTTGGCCAGGGGTGAGTAGATTTCGCTGGTAGTTTTACATGAGGGGTGTGAGGATATTTCGCTGTCAGTTTTAAGACAGGGCGGTGAGGATACTTCCAATACGTAACCAAGCAGCACCACGTGCCACGCACGGGCGGTCAGGCGTGATCGGCGGATTCGTTGGCTTGGGGTTCGGGGCGCATCATGCAGCCACAGCGTTGTCGGAATATGGATCACGTTCGACAGTGGGCTGAGGCTCAATTCGTTGGTCTGGGGTTCGGGGCGCATCACGCAGCCACAGCGTTGGAATATAGATCCCCCTCAAAATTGGATGCAGTATTGGGTCTGGCCCTGCCTGGCCCTGCCGACTGTATCGCATCCAGCGCGGTGCTGCGCCCTTATGTATGCTCGCTCCTTGGCCTGGGGCCGGCGGGAGGCCAAGGGGCGAGCTGTCCGGTAATTGCGTCGCAGCGCGGCAGGGGCAGTCGGTTCGCGCGCTCAGGTACGGTAGGTTCGTGTCGTGTCGACCAGCGGCGACCCCGCCACCGGAGTTCAACGTTGAACGCCGACGGCGACCCAGAATCGATCGATGTTCAACGATGTGGCGTTTCGGAAACGGCCGATCGTTCAAGGTTGAACGATTCCCGCGGTGTCAAGAACCATCACCTGGGTCGACACGACGCAAATCTGCGGTTGTCCAGACAACGGAAGGCGCAACTTACCCGGCGGCAGAAGGAGGGGAAGCCAGGCGAAAGCGGCCGCGAGCGGGGAGGGAAGGAGGGGAGGGCACTCGCGCGGCGAGGCGCGTCGCAGTGGAGAGGCCAGGGCGGCCAGCCAGTGCTACACCCCTGGCAGCGGGCGCGGCGCGGCGGAACGGCCACACCCAGGGGCTGGAAGAGACACAGTATCGGGGTAGGGAAAGAATGGCCACGTCCACGACGACCCTTCCCAAAAGCAAACGTAATGAAACGGACACGGGCAATCCTTCGAAGGTGAAGGGCCCGTTTCCTGGCTCGCGCGGTGTGAGCGGTCGAAACACTCAGCGCGCACGTGCCCCTGAGGCCAGCAGTTCCCCTCCGACCCCAGCTTGCGAAGGACGTGTGTCCACGCATCGTTGACCGCCCTGGCCGCTCCACGGCGACACGCTTCGCCACGCGAGTGCCCTCCCACACCCCTCCCTCCTCGCGGCCGCTTTCGCCTGTCTGCCCCTCCTGCTGCCGCGGGGTCGTTTGCGCCTTCCGTTGCCCAGACCGCAGGAGCGCGCGCGCGGACCGCCCCTGCCGCGCTGCGACGGAAAAGGTGCCCACGCGTGCCTCTGCGGACTGCCTCTGCCGCGCTCCGGCCGCGCTGCGGACTGCCTCTGCGCGCTGCGCGCCCCGGGGCCCGCGCAGAGGCACGCCCGCCTTCGGCCAGTCGTTACCCGACGAGTCAAACAGCAGCTTTCCCTGACTCGCGCCGACCTGCTGCTGCGGTCTGCCTCGCATCCGAGATGGTTTCCGTCGCAGGCCTAGAAAGTGACACCAACACCACTCTCGGCGGTGTGCCTCCACCGAGGGAAGAAGATACCGATTTGAGTGATGGTGGTAACATTTTGTTTCCTAAGGTGGCCGGAATATTGCCACCGTCACCGGAATCTAGGATCATCTTCCCCACGTGGAGGCACCCCTCTGTGTTGGTGTTGGTGCCGATTTCCAGGCCTCCAATTCCTTGCGCGGGCGAAGCTGGCGCAGCGCCCGGTACCCCCCCGGCCCCGGCTTTGTCGTGCTGGCCCTGGGCACTGTGGCGGTCTTCGCACTAGCGTAGATTCGGAGGGCACCAACTATACACCAACACCGATGCCGGCCCAGGATCACCCTGGGCCCATGATCGGTGTATATGCCTTCTTGCCCAAGGCAGGAGGGCGTATACACCGATCCTGGGCCTAGGGTGATCCTGGCCAGAATCGGTGTTGGTGTATAGTTGGTGCCTTCCTATAGATAGAACCTCTTTCCTTCATCGCGTCTGTCCAACTCATCACATCTGTCCTTCGGTTCTCCCGCCGATCGGGAACAATGTCTTGGCTGGCAGAGGCGCGGTACATGTGGCGCGTCCGCTCGCTACGCCAGCAGGGATCGCCCGGCAAAAGGGCTACCAATTGATGGATTTATATGTTGTTATTTATTTCTGTATAGTTCTATTTATACGTATTGAAAGTCAATTTCGGCTATTCCATTTCCCAACGGGGCGATGGGCCAATGTCCTATTGATGGACGAGTATCGCTACCACCTGTGGAATTTGGGCCTCACACGGATATTCAAAGAAACGAGGCGGCGATGCACCTGCACGCACAGGGTGCCCCATTTGAATTGCCTACAGTCTGCATCAAGGGAGGGGAAGCACACTGGGCGTTAACGGCTACTGACCAGCGCATTCGGTCGCATGTGCTAGAGATTCCCAGATGTAGCGTTGGCTCCACAGCCCCGGGCGTGCATGACACAGTCCTGCCCTGTTCGAGTCCTTCCTGGGGCGCGTCAGCTGCCTGGCTTTGCTTGTGCTGGGCAGTCGAAGGCCAGACTGTCAGATTGGATTGGGCCCCAAGGGCCAATCTGGCCCGGCCAGACTGGATGCTTTGGGTTATTCGCCAGACTGGATTCGCGTTGGCTCCAGAGCCCCAGGCGTGTCTTACGCAGTCCTGCCTTGCTCGAGTCCTTCCTGGGGCGCGTTGGCTGCATGGCTTTGCTTGTGTCGGTCACGCGCAGAGGGGGGCAGGGGGAGGGGGGAAGGCTTCTTAGAAGCACCCCTACTTCTTAAAAGGCGCGGTCCTTATGTATAGATGTAAGGCCGCCGCCTTCTAAGAAGCAGTCTCCTTCTAAGAAGCCTTATGCGCGCCGCCAATTGTGGGGTGCTCCTCGTGGGCGTGGTTCGCCTGCCCCCCCCGGCTTCGCGGGGGCAGCCGCTGCGAGAAGGCGCTGCGCGTGCGCTGCGCCGGCCGCCGGGGCAGACATGGGCAAGCGGCGGCCTCGGCATGCGATCGTTGCTCCAGATTTCGTAAGATCGGGGGCGGAAAAGAGGGGGGTGATGACTAGGGGAGGGTGGACATCATGGCTGGGGCCATGAGATTTCCCCAGATCTCGTGGCTCCTCTTCTTGTTTCATTGCGTCCCTGGCCCCCCAGCTGGGCCGCGCACGTGCCGCCGGTCATGATTTGCACCCCCCCCTCTTGGACACCCCCCTCTTGGCCGCTCCCGATAATAAAGGGAGGGGGGTCTCATTTCGGGGGGGGGTCTCTTCCAGGCTCTCTTGGAGGGCCTGGGGGGTCTGGGGACGATGTTTTGGAGGGTTCTCCCACGGGGGAGGTCTGAAGTGGCTTGTCTTGGAGGGTCCAGACCCCCTCCCTTTTGTTACGAAACCTGGAGTACCTTATTCCTTGTTTTGCCGATCGTCGCGTGCCCTCGCCCCCCCCCCTCCTCGCCCCCCCCCCCCGTGGAGCAGATCTTGGCTGATTTGGGCGCCTGTTTCGAGCAGGCGGAGCCTCCCCCATGAGGCGCACTCTTCGAACAGTCGCACTATACGCAGAGGTCCAGAGCCGGACCCTTCCCCCTCACTCCCCCCCTCCTTTCCGCCCACTGTCGAAACGTCGCATAAGAAAACGCTCACATACGCGTACTGATATCCACTTGGGCTGCCGGTCAAACTTGCCCCAGCGCTGCGCTCGGGGAAGGAGGCGGCAGGAGTGGATCGCACCACCATGGCACTCCGCCGTGTATCATGACCTGTTCCGATTCCATCCATCCGGCTCGACCTCGAGATCCCCAGGCTCGAGCGCATTCGATCTCGATCTTCCAGCACTCCGACGCGGCCCCATGCCTGCACGGCGCGGTTGTGCATCCTGGCGCAGCCGTTCCGATCCGATCTCGACTCTGTGCCGGTGCATCCCGATCCGACGCCGGAGCCGCCAGAGTGGCGCTCGTGGGCCTCGACGGCGCTGGGCCTTCGCTGTTGCACCCCTCGCTTCGTGACTCGGTGGCGCGCCTCGGGGGAAGGCAGACAGAGGGGGCGGGCCTTTGAGAAGGCCCGTCAGAGGAGGGAAAGGTACCCTGTGAGAGGTCCAGGGAGTAGCGGTATCGTTACCTTTTTGCCTCCCCAGTTCAGGCGCCCTCTGGCCTTCTGAGAAGTTTTCTAGGCCTTCTCCGGAACCACGGAGGGCTCCCGAGAAGGCCAGGGAGTTTCTGGGAAGCCCCGCCCTGCCCACCCCCCTTCACTCCCTCCTCACGATGAATTCTGTCGATGGGGCCCGACTCACACCAGCCGCGACACAGCGCGGTGGCGACACCTTCAGAGGGGGCACGTGTACACGGGCATGCTGGTTGGGAGTGTTGCGCCTTCCTGCCACAGGAGCTGGGCAAGGGGGCTTTGTCGGCAGTGGATAGGCGTATGGCACGCGAGCATCCTCCGCCGGCCGCATGAGTGACCAGACGCCGTGTGCAAGTCTGCCCGTGGCCTCTGGATGGTCAGCACCTCCCTGCTGAGAGGCCCGTCGTGCGCGGCCGGTGTGTTCCTCTGTTTCCATTCTGGACCGAGGTCTTTCGCCGCGCCCAGGCCCACTGTTGCTGCTTCGGCCGCCTCGGCAGCCCCGCCCCTGCCGCGATGAACCGCGTGGTGCTTGCGGCGCTCGTCCTTGCCCTCGCCGGCCGCAGCTGCCTCGCCGACGACCAGACCACCACGATGGCCGACGAGCGCCGCCTGACGGAAACCACCGTGGGCGACGACACGACGAGCGCGGCGGCTCGCAGCGGGGGCCTCGGCACCGTGCTTTTCGCGCTTCTCGCGCTCCTCTACCTGGGCAGCGCGGCGGGGGCGGCAGTGGACGAGTCCACCACGATGGCCGACGAGCGCCGCCTGACAGACACCACCATGGGCGACGACACGACGAGCGCTGCGGCTCGCAGCGGGGGCCTCGGCACCGTGCTTTTCGCGCTCCTCGCGCTCCTCTTTGCGGGCAGCGCGGCGGGGGCGGCAGTGGACGAGTCGACCACGATGGCCGACGAGCGCCGCCTGACAGACACCACCGTGGGCGACGACACGACCAGCCCCGCGGCCCCCCGCGCGGCGCCAGTGTTTGCCCTCACTGCGGCGCTCGGTCTTGCAGCCCGTCGGTGAGCTCCAAAGGGGCGTGAGGCGGCCTTTGGCAATACATGTTTTTCCAGTTCTCTCAGAAAGGTTGTGGTGCAACGTTCGAGTTGGATAGGCTCAGGGGGGATGAATCGAGTCCCAAGTCGCCCGTTGATCGCCGATTGGGGCCCGATAGCTCACCCCACCCAGGACCCTGCGGATTCGCTATCGGGAGCACATCGCCGATACATCGGCGACGTATCGCCGATGCAAGCTCGATGTTTCCCTCCTTGAGCTGACCCCCCCCTAACGTTACCCCTCACAGTTGTTTCTGGGCTTCCGAGCTCGAATTCGGGCCACCCCCGTGATCGGCCGCCGCTGCCCTCGCGAAGACCAGGGAAACGGCTAGGCCCACCCGGGGGCGGCCAGCGCACGCCTGTGACGGCGCCGCCTGCCACTGCGACGCAGGGGAGCTTGCGGTGTTTGTACTTGGATCGATGACTGCAACGGGTGTGGTTGCGCCGGGGTGTGGTTTGCGATCTGCTTCTTTGATAGGGCAACGAAGAACGACGTGATCCCCCACTTCCCATATTTTCCCAAATATTCTGGGGAACCGACGATTGATTGTGCCTGTGTGTTTTTTCCACTCCTGACTCTCAGGCAGACATGATGGGTGAAAGTCCTCAGGACCCGTTCCCCTGAGAACCCGCTTTCTTCATTAGGGGGACGGGCAACAACATAAACATAACAACTCGGAAGTCCGCGCGGATTTCTAGGATCCGCGCTGGACCCCCTTGGCGGCGCCTCCGGCGCCGCCCCTGGCGCGCTTCGCGCGCCAGGGAGGGGGGGTCCAGCGCCGGTCCGAGAAGTACGCGCGGAGCTCCGATTTTCTACGCTTATGTCATTCTTAGTTCCCATCGTTTCACCACCCACCAAACCACCCCAACCCGACCCGAAGGCTCAGATTTACCTTCGATTTCCAGTTTGGGGGGGTCGGGAAACGTCGAAAAAACACGTGTGGAACCCTTACCCCCCCCAACCCGAAATTCGGGTCTTCGGGTTGGGTTGGGGTGGTCTGGTAGGTAGTCATCGTTGAGACGTGGGGGGCAGCACGTTGCCCTCGTCGGGCCTCCAAGGGCCGCGGCGGAGATAACTCTGTCGAGGTCCTCGCCTGTCCCCCAAGGGGGCGCGCTGCAAAAACCACACCCGTGGCACACCATACCCATCGACGTCCCCGATTGCGATTGGAGCCACGAGTGACTTTTGCGGTGCCATCGAAGGGGGGGCGGAAGTCAAGAACGACGAACGGCGAGAAACATAACTTCTCGGAGCTCCGCGCGGATTTTTGGGATCGGCGCTGACACCCCCTGGCGGCCCAGCGCCAGCCCGCGCCAGGGAGGGTGTCCGGCGCGGATCCAAGATACCTGCGGGGAATTCCGAAAGTTTATGATGCTTATGGATTTTTGCATCCCTCTAGGGAAGAATTGGTGACGGATGATGCCCACCTTGGCCAGGAGTCGTTGCCGGTGCCGCCGTGCGCGTGGCCCGTGCGAGACAGACGCCGCCTTCTCACCAGCGGCCGCCGCTGGTTTGGGGCAACATTTGCGGCTGGGCGTCGCCCTCACTGCTTCTTAGGTGCTCGGTCGTGAGCCCCTCGGTGAACTCGAATGGGGAACAGCCAGGACCCCAGGCAAGGGGACCCGTTTAGTAGTAGGGCCCTGGAGCCCCTAAATTGGCCAGAATCATTAAACCAGGTCTGCCGTAGCTTGTTTTTTTTCGAGTGACGGCAGCTCCGGTTAGTGGAATTGGGCGGGGGGGCATGCCTCAGTCCACGTCACTAAACCAGGTCCCACTATACCCAGTTCTGCCAACGCCCGATCGAAGCAGGAACACCATCAACTCCTGGCGCTCCGCGCGGATTTCTTGGGTCCGCGCTGGGGCCCCCCTGGCGGCGCCTCCGGCGCCGCCCCTGGCGCGCTCCGCAGCGCAGGTTCACGGAATCCGCGCGGGAGCGTCAACATTTTATGTTTATTCGGGGGACGAAGTCTATACATATCCACTGCTCCCTGGCCAGGCCCATCCTGAACCCAGGAGCTGTGTATACGCCCTCCTGGCCAAACCAGGAGGGCGTGGCGTATACACAGCTGCTGTGTTCAGCATGGGCCTGGCCAGTGGAGCAGTGGATATGTATAGATTGCGTCGCCCTATTTATGCCGTGGTTTCTTCTGCTGCTCGCGCCGAAGGGCGCCCCCCGGACCACCGAAGGCCGCCCTGAAGGCCGTGGCATACACCGCCGCACGCCGCTCCGGGCCGACGGGCAGCAGAGGGGTCCCTGGCAGAACGCGTACTCCAGTTTTCGTACCAACAGGGAGGGGGTCTGGACCCTCCAAGACGAGCCATTGCAGACCCCCCCCCTCGTGGGAGAACCCTCCAAAACATCGTCCCCAGACCCCCCCAGGCCCTCCAAGATGGCCTGGAGGAGACCCCCCCCCGAAATGAGACCCCCCTCCCTTTATTACGAAATCTGGAGTAGCTCTTTGTGCCGTTAAAGTTCCGTTAAAGGCTTCACGACTTCTGCCGAAGAACGGTATAAGATAAACTTTTTCGCTGTCGGGGACGCCTGTCCCTGGGCGGCTGGAAAGTTTATACCCCTACGGTGCCACCGTAAGGCTATAAACTTTCCAGCCGCCCGGGGACAGGCGCCCCCGACGGCGAACAACATTGTCTTTTATACCGCTCTTCGCCCGCGAAATGCACCTCGATCCACCTGCATGCACCCGGATTTCTCTGGCTCGACCCCCTCAAGGCGATAGGCGCGAACAGGTCGACGAGCCCGTACAGGGCTCTTTGGCCGCGGCGCGCGGCCGAGAGGGCCGCGGATGCGCGCACGGGGCCCGCCGCCTGCCACCTCGGAGTGCAGACCTCGGCCGGCCCCACGCAGCGCAGGGCGACCGCGGGCGGGAGGCTGCCCGGCGGAAAGGGGGAGGTGCCCGGCCGGCCGGCCGGCCGGAGTGCTGTGCGAAGTGGAGGGCCTGCTAAAACGACGCGAAGATCGGGACAAAATCGGATCGGGATAACTCGAAATCTCTGAGGATCGGCGGGTCTGGAGGACGTATTGGGCGCCGCGGCCGCTCCGGAGCGTTCTGGAGCGATTTATCCCGATCCTAGCCCTGTTTTATGCCCGTCGGAAAGGGGGAGGTGCCCGGCCGGCCGGCCGGCCGGAGTGCTGTGCTCGGGGGCGGAAAAGAGGGGGGTGATGACTAGGGGGGGTGCCCGGCCGGCCCGCCGGGGGGTGATGACTAGGGGGGGCGGACTATAGGAGGGGGGTGATGACTAGGAGGGGGGTGATGACTAGGGGGGCGGAAAAGAGGGGGACGGAAAAGAGGGAGGTGCCCGGCCGGCCGGCCGGCCGGAGTGCTCGGGCGGGACTTCATGGGGGGGTCATAAACGGGGGGGTCAGAAAAGGTCCCCTTTCGTGCGCCTTTCGGGCCCCTCCAGAGCCCCAGGGGCTCGCTTAGGTCCCCTCGGGTACCTTTTCGAACCACCCTTGCCACCCCCCCATGTATGACCCCCCCATTACGCGGCGCCCAAAGTGCTGTACGAAGCGGAGGACCTGTGCTGTGCTCGGGGGCGGCAAAGAGGGGGGTGATGACCAGGGGGGGGTGGATATCATGGCGTGGGCCACGATTTTTCCCCAGATTTCGTGGCACTTCTTCTGATTTGATTGCGTCCCCGGCCCCCTCGCTGGGCCGCGCACATGCCGCCGGTCATGATTTGCACCCCTTGGACACTCCCCTCTTGGCCGCTCCCGATGTGCGAAGCGGAGGACCTGCGCCATGAGGCTGGGCCTCCCGAGATTCACCGAGCGCGCTCCACGACCTCGCGGAGCGCCTACTTGCAAACGTCCGAAAACACACATGTCTGTTTCGGTGCAGTGTATCGTCGATCCCCCGCGGCGGCTCCAGGCCATTTGCGGGTAGTCACTTTTCGAGTAGTGAAGCGCGCTGGTCTATAGATGTGCTCGGAGCAGACTGGGGGTCGGAGTAGATGGCGCCGCATCGCCGATGCATCGGCATGGCGGCTCGATGTGGGGCCCGATTTGCTTCACGTCGACGTCGCCGATGCATCGCCCACGTCGACGATGCATCGCTGGTGCATCGCCGATGCACCGCCGATGCACCGCCGATGTATCGCCGATGCTGCGCGGCCCTCCGACCCCATCTACTCGGACCCCATCTAGGAGGCCTCTAATGAAGGAAGCTGGGTCTGAGGGGAACGCGTCCCGAGGATTTCCCCTTTCCTTGTTCCCCTGGGAGTCAGGAGGGGGCAAGAGCTCACAGACACAGTTCATCGTCGATTCCCGACTCCCCGGGACATTTTGGAACATATGGGAAGTGGGGGGGGAAGACGAGAATCCCGAATAAGGAAAATACGTAGCACCCCGCAATTGCGGATAAGAGTGAGGGGGCGGGCGCGGGCGACGCGGGCGTCGTCGAGCCAGCAGACCTCGTGGCCCCCACCTTCCCTGTCGATGGCGCTCTCGTCCTCCTTCTCCTCCTCCTCCTCCTCCTCCTCCGGAATGATGAGATTGCGTGTCTTTACTTGTGTGTCCCTGGGCCCCTCCACTGAGGCCTTCCACGGGCCCCAGGGGCTGCCAGAGAGCCACTCTCGGGGCGAGCAAAATCAGTCCTGGGGGCAGGCCCAGGGTCCAGGACATGTTTCCCTCAGGAGCCGCTTCTTTCATGCCAAAAAGGGGGAGGAGGAGGAGGAGGAGGAGGAGGAGGAGGAGGAGGAGGACGAGGAGGAGGAGAAGGTTCAGGCGATCGCAGACCAGCCCAACCCAACCCGAAGGATCAGATTTACCCTCGATTTCCAGTGGGGGGGGGGCGGGAAACTTCGAACAAGCACACGTGGAACCCTTACCCCCCCCAACCCGAAATTCGGATCTTCGGGTTGGGTTGGGGTGGTCTGTTCGGTAGTCAAAAAGGGGTCCGTCGGGAGGAGAAGGTTCATGCGATCGCAGACCTGGATTCAAGGGGGGCGTGGAT